TTATAGAAGAGGCTGGAACACTTTGGATGTGATTGATCCAGCCTTCAGTCGGCGTAAAGGACCTGCAGTTAGCTTTAACTCTTGGCTCCTTCGATTTTCAGTCTATTCGATGTTTTGACGAATAACCGTAGTTCTTCCGGCGCTGCGTTTATCGCTTGGCCGTCGTCGGAGTCTCAAGTCTACAGCTGCTGAATGGAGTTTTGGCTCGTATCATTGAGTTGACTTTGAACTACCTCCGTCACATTGTGTTGACTTAGGGTTTCGGATCACAGTATGTTGACTCTTTGTCGCAACGCGTTGACTGGCGTTGACCTAGGGTTACGCGTTGACCGGCGTTGATCCTAGGGTTTCGAATCGTCAAACATTGACTTGTGCGGATTTCGAATCCTCGAACGTTGACTTTTGTTGTAACGCGTTGACTGGCGTTGACCTAGGGTTACGCGTTGATCGGCATTGACCTTAGGGTTTCGAATCGTCAAACGTTGACCTTGGTCGCAACGCGTTGACTGGCGTTGACCTAGGGTTACGCGTTGACCGGCGTTGACCCTAGGGTTTTGAATCGTCAAACGTTGACCTTGGTCGCAACTCGTTGACTAGCGTTGACCTAGGGTTACGCGTTGACCGGCATTGACCCTAGGGTTTTGAATCGTCGAACGTTGACTTGTGTGAATTCCGAATCCTCGAACGTTGACTTTTGTTACAACGCGTTGACTGGCGTTGACCTAGGGTTACGCGTTGACCGGCGTTGACCCTAGGGTTTTGAATCGTCAAACGTTGACTTGTGCGGATTTCGAATCCTCGAATGTTGACTTTTGTTGCAACGCGTTGACTGGCGTTGACCTAGGGTTACGCGTTGACAGGCGTTGACCTTAGGGTTTCGAGTCGTCAAACGTTGACTTTGGTCGCAATGCGTTGACTGGCGTTGACCTAGGGTTACGCGTTGACCAGCGTTGACCCTAGGGTTTCGAATCGTCAAACGTCGACTTGTGCGGATTGTAATGATTCTTTCATTGCAACGCATCGACCGGCGTTGACCCTAGGGTTACGCGTTGACCGACGTTGACCTTAGGGTTTCGAATCGTCAAACGTTGACTTTGGTCGCAATGCGTTGACTGGCGTTGACCTAGGGTTACGCGTTGACCGGCGTTGACCTTAGGGTTTCGAATCGTCAAACGTTGACTTTGGTCGCAACGCGTTGACTTTTGTTGCAACGCGTTGACTGGCGTTGACCTAGGATTACGCGTTGACCGGCGTTGACCTTAGGGTTTCGAATCACAGTATGTTGACTCTTTGTCGCAACGCGTTGACTGGCGTTGACCTAGGGTTACGCGTTGACCGGCGTTGACCTTAGGGTTTCGAATCGTCAAACGTTGACCTTGTTCGCAACGCGTTGACTGGCGTTGACCTAGGGTTACGCGTTGACCGGCGTTGGCCTTAGTGTTTTGAATCGTCAAACGTTGACCTTGGTCGCAACGCGTTGACTGGTGTTGATCTAGGGTTACGCGTTGACCGGCGTTGACCCTAGGGTTTTGAATCGTCGAACGTTGACTCGTGTGGATTTCGAATCCTCGAACGTCCAACAACCGGCGAAAATAGGCGAATTCGGACTTCGAAGAAGGTTCGGGGGGTCAAAATTGGGTTAAGACACCCAAGGGGTGTCTCAACAAAACCGAGACACCTTTGGGGTGTCTCGGTTTTGCCGAGACACCCCTTGGGGTGTCTTGGCCAAAACCGAACACCCCCTCCCCTCTCTTCCTTCTTTTGAATTTTCTTTCCTCTTTTGTTTTCCCCCTCTTTTCAAATTCTTTTCAAAAGAGGATCCTTTCCCTCTTGAATCATTTTCTTCTACCTCTATCCCTCCACCATTGTTCTTTACCTTCCAAGAACTCTAAACCCATAAACTCCATAAAGAAATTTCGGATTTTGGTGTTCTCTCCTTGGCCGAAAATACTCTCTCCTCCAAGCTAGGGTTTCATCATCTTCAAGCTCAAGAAAAGCCTCTTGATTTGGTAAGTTCCTCTTCAAAACTCTCCTTTTTTTTTTCAAGAAAGATCATAGCTTTATGTTTGTGATGGGGGTATACCATGAACTCTTATGCAAAGATCACAACTTTTTGCTCTCAAGATGACGGGTTGTGTATGCACAAGTATTTGGGGGGTTTTATGCAAAATTACAATATGGCCGAATTTTGGGGGCTTTTGTGCAAAAATGGACTGAAATTTGAGGGTTTTTATGCAAAGTGGACTGAAATTTAGGACTGAAATTTTACCCCCCCTTTTGGCCGAAATTTGATAGGTGTTTGCATGCGAAAGAATCAATGTTGTTTGAGGGGTTTATTTGCAAAAAAGCGACTTACAAAGTGTAGAGGGATTTATTTGCAAAAGGGCTAAAATTTTAGGGCTGAGATTCCAAAAGTTTAGACCACAAACCCATGACCAAAGTTTTGAGAAAGGCATGTGGATGTTAAACTGAAATTTGTGAAGGGGTCTATATGCAAAGGGCTGAAATTTAGGGCTGAAATTCCAAAAGTTTAGACCACAACCCAATAACCAAAGTTTTGATAAAGGCATGTGGATGTTAAATTGAAATTTGTGAAGGGGTCTATATGCAAAATTGGCTAAATTCTACAAAAGGGCTTATTTGTAAAATTAACCAAAATTGTGGGGTATCAGGGGTGCTATATGATCAGATATGATGACCATGACCCAACTCGAGCGTGTCCTTGACCCGAATTTAGCCTTGAACACGAAGGGTATTTTGGGTATTGCACCAAAATTCACCGCAAAAATGACAATCATTGTTTCGCATGCACGAAATTTGTAGGTTTAACTAGACTTCAACTATAAAATCCTATTTATACATAGGATTTTAATTAAAGTTCTTAATTTCCCTTTTAAATTTCGTGTATTCATATTTTAGATTGTACCTGACTTGCTGCTTTTCGTTGCAGATTTTCAATGTCTCCACGCCGACCTCGACCTCGTAGGAATTGCAGTAGAGTTTCCCGCGGGTAGCCTTCCTCCTCATGCCAATACTGGTTGTAGCCGGGAGGTCTTCTCTTCGGCTTCTATCAGGCAGGCCGTTAGTCCACTCCCTCAGTTTGACAGAGATCGCTCCGACGAATCCTGTCGTTTGATACGGGAAGGAGGGCGTCACTGCTTACGCCAGCTTATCACGGATGCCTCCTTTACTGCGGATTCTACCTCTACTCAGGCTTTAAAGAAGCCCAATTTCCTGTTCGGAGATCACATTGAGGATCCTGCTGCGTTGACCCTTACCGAGGAACACTGGCTGACTCTCGACGAAGGAGCTCTCTTGTACATTCCCTCTATCCCGCGTCAATATTCCTTCACTCATTTGAAGGGACAGGCCGTGGGGTGACAGATGTCCTGGCACCTGACTAATGATGCTGAGCGAGTCGAGTGTGGGTATGCCTCTCATCACAAGACTCCAGGTTCTGGCGGGTATCATCATATTCGTGGTCTTCGACCAGGGATCATGGGCCTTGCCACTGTGCCCCCAGGCGAGGTGTCAGCAGCTGCTCCTACCGTGAGTAACCGTCTGGCTCTTCTTGGGAGAAGGTTACCTCCACCGGATTATAGATGCTATGGTTGGGCTTCCTCACTAGCCAAGGGGTGGTGGGCACGCATGACTAGTTTCGTCTTAGCGCGCTGGGAGAGGGATTTGAAGAGCAGTGGATTGTATGCACCTATACGAGCCACTATGTACGGACTCCCGGTCAGCTGTCGTCATTTCTTGGCGCTGTTAGAGACATACATGCCTGATAGTAATACCTTCCTGACCAGCGGGGGCGAGTTAGGATTGGCCTTGCATGAGATGCATCAGGTTTCTGGTCTTCCGATGGGGGATTGTCCTTATCAGGAGTATTTTCCCTCGAACCAGCAGTTGGAGTGTTTGAAGAAAGATACTCCTGATATGTATGACACTCTTTGGGACCTCACTTGTCACTATTATACCTCCTTGGTCCAGACTTCTCTTCTAGCGAAAAGGAAGAAGCAGATCAGCTTGAAGCAGTTTGCTAGCTATTTGTTCCAGAATTTGGAGGGTGATTCCGGCGAGCCCATTCGTGAGTTAGATGTGTTGACCCCTACCGCCATTAATGAGTTGGTGGAGAAGGCTGAGGCTCATTCTTATACCATTGCCAGTGCTGAGGGAGATTTTCCTGCAGGAACCAAGTTTCGTTCGTTTTTCCGTCGTGCACAGAAGTCCATTGAGCCCCGGACTCTACTGGCAGGCTACCTTGCTCTCTGGTTGAAGAAATGTGTTGTTCCGTACCAGCCTTCAGACGCTTTACCTATCGAGGTGCTCTTCTCTGCAGTTCAGCTAGCTTACGGGAGAGTGCTTTCTCTGCTCCCAGCGATGGTTGCTGGCATCCATTGCGGGCTTAGGTGTCTAGTCAGTAGTTTTATGCAGAGGGGTTCTGAACCATCGACCGAGCTTATTTGTCCGAAGGTCGAGCTTCCTTATGCATATCTGATGGCGTGGCTTGTCCTTCACCGTCCTGACTTGATGTCGGCGCCCAGCGTTGTTGATGTCCCCGTTCCTTTTATGCAGCTGTTGGAGAAGAGCAGATGGCTCGGGAACAAATTCAGTGATGTACAACGAGAGCTTTGAGTCCGTAAGAGATGGGAGTTCTTCAAGTGTTTTCCTCACTTTTCGGGTCGCTATGGTGACGTGCTGATTGACGAGGAGAAACCTAGAAGTGACCGGACTGTTCTCGACGTTGGTAGTTTCCGCTGGTTAGTGAACATCCGCGTTGGGTATCTTGTTCTTCGGGTGAAGAATCGATGCCACATAGAGCCTTCCCTTCCCTGCCGTTTTGCTCGTCAGTTCGGCTATGACCAACTATATGTTGGGAATCCAAGCCGTGGTCTGCAGGTTGAGGGAGGGCTTATTGACGGCGTACGAGCATGGCTGTGGACTATGGCAGGCTGCACTGGAGCCCATTTTGCTCTTCCTTCATATAGGCGTAAGCCGCTGACCACCTTTCTCAGTTGCAAGTGGTTCCTTTCCGCCCATGAATTCATAGGTGTGAGGAGTCTTTTAGAGTTACAGTCCGAGCACTCGGTCCAGGTTGCTATGATGGCTGCTCGCAGGGCTGAGCTTGCTCAGAAGCAGAGAAAGGGGCATGCCGAATCTCCTTTCCAAGATGATGAAGAGCTCCTTCCTACGGGTGATGACGACGAGACTTCTGAGGAGGAATATGTGGATATAGATACTGACAGAGAAGAACTTGATACAGGTTTGTCGTGCTCTTTGATTTTCCTTCTCCATTCTACTTGGTATAAACGATAAATCTTGTTCGTGACCATTGTCACTTTAGGTAGGACAGTTGACGATCACGAGTCGCCAGCTTCTCGTTATACGAGCTCAGGGCCCGGCGATCGAGCTCCCACGCATGTTGAGACGTGTGACAAGTCCGTGCATGACCGACCTGTTGGTCCTAGGAGGGCGGGCGTCCCGAAAAGGAAGAAGACCGCTCATAAACCACACGACGGTCAGCGTCCTTTTGAAATGGATGTAGGAAGCATCGCCGATGGAGGGGAAGGTAATATTTATTTTTATTGCTTTAAGGTGATTTACCTTTTGGGATTCGTAACCATGTTTTATGCTCCAGGGTTCTTTGAAGAGGGCGAACTTCCACCGGGTCCGGTATCTCCTGGATCTGATAACATGGATTGCTTCATGCAGCAGATGTGCGACGCCCTTCATGACGGATCTCTGGGCATCGATCTAAACATTGATCTTGAGCAGGTGAATAGTGTTGAGCCCACCGTCCCATATTCAGGTATATCTACATCCAATGATACCCTCCTCAAGCATGGGGAATTCATTCACAGGTATATATCTGATTCCCTTCATCTTGCCTGATCTTTTGTCTGACTAACGAAGGATTAATATTACAGCGCCAGTCATTGGGATTAACCCAATATCGATTCCCGGCATATCTAGCTTACCTCGAAGTGACGGACTTGCAGGTATGCATATGATCTTGGATGTCGCACTGCTTTTCATTCATTTTTTTTAATGGATGAGTGTAATCATAGGACCAGCCGCTTGGGCCGATACCCTTATGACTCTTGGTATTCCCGTCGCATCTGATGACAGTGGGATTACCGGTATGCATACGATCTTCTTGTCCCGATTCTCCTTATTTGTCCAAATTTCTATTTGACTAATACAGGAGTGTAACTATAGGACCGGTCGTTGTGCCTGATACTACTACAGTTTTCGGGACTGAAAGTTTGCATAGAAGTGGCGCCTTCGCGCCCTTGCCGAGTGGTATGAGCGATCTGCCTACAGGGGTTGATATACCCTCCATGACCACTTCTGCCGTTATCTCGGAGTCCGCCGGACCTCAGCCCGAGGGGACCTCCGCTGGCGATGGTATGCTCGGAATCTACCTTTGAATTTCCTTATCGTATTTGATAATCTGCTAAACTTCTATGTTGTTGCTTGTAGGATCTCGATCCTCTCTATATGAGCGTGTCCGCGCCCTTTTGGTCGATACCGATCCTAACAGAGACATTTTCCGTACGGACCTCAGCTTCTTCACTGCCTTTTATAACGGCATGATCGAGAAACTTCTTCATAGAGGATACTGTCTCGATCAGTTCAGGCATTCCTTTTCTCGCCACATGATGATGATGAGGGAAGAAGGATGCCCGGAATTGGCCGATTCCTTCACTGCCGATTTCGTTGTTCTGGAGTCAGAGATCCGAGAGTTAAAGGAATTGGAAACTAGCGGGGCTTCTTCTTTCGTGTCCTCTCAGCTGGAGCATAGGCTGGCACAGTGGCGCGACCTGAGATCTTCCATCGGATGCGAGCTTCAGTCACATGAGAGCTCCGTTGCGCAGCTAATGGCTACCGTAGCGAGGAAAGATACGGATAGAGCTGAGCTACTCCGCTCTTTGGACTCGAGCCGCGAGGAAGTGACTAGGTTGAAAGAGGCCTTGAAGCGCGCCGAGGAATCCGTTACTCTTATCGCAGATGACCTGGCTGGATTAGAGTGTTCTCGTGAACAGGTACTCGAGAGGCTAGGATCCTCCCAGGAGAGACTGATGAAGCTGAAGAGTGAAGCCGCGGAGATTTTGAGCAGTTCTGAAGAATCTGCTCGAGCTGATCTGCAGGCAGAACTCGAGCAGAGTTATGTAGATAGACTTTTTAGTTTAAAGTCTCATGTTCTCAGCCGCCAACTGCCTTCGGGCTAACGAGCTTTTTATTGTATGCTTTTGACTCGATCTATTAATAGAGACTCCGCATTTGCTTCTTTCGTGATCTTTCTGTGTTTATTCTGAATGACAAGATTTACGGGATTTTTGGCAAACCCCCAGCCCTCAACGGGTTTAATATGCCTTTACCGATTACCGTTTGAATCGGGCTAGCATGCGGATTGTCTAGATCCGTTCCACATGTAACGTTGTGCTAAGAGAATTGCTTTTCTTAGACTTAATGCTATGATTTTGAATACATAGACTTCATCATTTTTTATAGGGAAAAGGTACCCCGCACCGCGTATTAGGCGATGACTTATCCCTTCTTAGGCTTCGGGATAAAATTCTCCAAGTTTAGACCTTGGTGTCTTTTTCAATCGGCGAAAGACTAAACCGGCAATGTGTGTTAGACATAGACTTTAGGATTTTTAGCAAACCCCCAGCCTTCAACGGGTTTGATGTGCCTTTACCGATCACCGTTTGAATCGGGCTAGCATGCGGATTGTCTAAATCCGTTCCGCATGTAACGTTGTGCTAAGAGAGTGAATTCTCTAAGACTTTGTGCTATGATTTTGAATACATAGGCTTCGCCCTTGTTACGGGAATATGGCATCCGGCAACGCGTATTAGGCGTTGACTCATCCCTACTTAGGATTCGGGATGAAAGTCCCCAGAATTATATGCTGGTGTCTTTTTCAATTGGTGAAAGACTAAACCGGCAACGCGTGTTAGGCGTAGGCTTATCTCTATTTAGGAGTTGAAATAAAATTCCCCATACATAAAGTACACGGATTGGAAGTTGGGAATTGTGTCTTTTCTCAGGGTAAAGACGGACTGGAAAATGGAAGAGAAAGAATTTTATATTCTATCTCCCGGGACTGAAGAGGAAGAATTTTATATTCTATCTACAGTCAGAAAGGAAACTCAAGGTGGGATCTCTACCCCCAGAATCCGAAAAGATGAAACTAAGAGTGGGATCTCCACTCCGAGAATCGGAAAAGTTCAAACGGCCATAACTTTTATAGGATTGGTCATTTGAATCAAAGAATCTCTCATTTATTGAGGGGAAAGCCCAATTTCAACCCTAACTTTTATAGGTTTGGTGGAAAAAGGAACAAAGCTTGACTAAGTGAGATCGGGAACAATCCTAACTTTTATAGGTTTGATTGTTCAAATTGAAAGTGGACCTCTCGTTCATGGAAGGAATCGAGAGAGGAATTTGGCTTTGGCCCTAACTTTTATAGGTTTGACCAGAAAGCAAAGAAAGTGGAATACGGGTAGCAAAGAAAGTGCCAACTCGTATTATCACTCAAAGGAAGACTTTAATGCTAGGTGATTAGGACCTAACATGTTGAGTCTGAGAAATGCCAACGACGGGCAGATGGAAATGTTGGTGGATCCACCGTCGTTTAATTTGATCAGCGGATGGTTTGGTGAGGAAAGATTAACCTATCAGAGGATTGGATCTCATCTCAAAAAAAATAACTCATAAGAGTTAGAGAATTTTGATAAAAAGAAACATTCTGACATTCAGAGTTCGAACGTAGATTTCTTATTCATCAATTCTACAGTGACTGGGTTATCCCTAAGAATACCCCATGTAATATTCTTCTGGGAACTTCCCGATACATTAGTTATCCTGAAGATACTAAGGATAGTATTTTTTCAGGAACTTGTCGTTTATCGGCATCATAAGCCGGTCACCATCCTTGGTGACAAGGCGATATGCGCCACTCGAGTAGACTGTCTCCACTACGAATGGTCCCTCCCATTTGGGTTCAAATTTACCCTTCTTCTTGGAGTTAAGGATCATAGGCCGCCTTTCAGCTAGAACCAAATCCCCTCCGTCCTTGGTGACTAAGCGATATGCGCCACTCGAGTAGACTGTCTCCACTACGAATGGTCCCTCCCATTTGGGTTCAAATTTGCCCTTCTTCTTGGAATTAAGGATCATAGGCCGTCTTTCAGCTAGAACTAAATCCCCTTCTTTGAAACTCCTTTGTCGAACCTTTTTGTCGAAGGCTCGAGAAATTCTAGCTTGGTAAAACTCAATATGTTGTTGAGCTTCCAGGCGCTTTTCATCTAGCCTTTCCAATTCTTCAAGGCGCTTCTGATGTTGCTGACGAGATATCCTGAATTTTAAACTTTTCGCAGAACCTTATGAAGGCGTTGCTGACAAACTGAGGACCGTTGTCATGTATGATTCGTCTTGGAACACCATACCTATAGATGATATGGTGCTTGATGAATGCAATGACGTTACTCGTTTTAACTTCTCTGAGTGGAACTGCTTCAGCCCATTTGGAGAAGTAATCGGTAATTGCCAGGATGAACCGGTCACCTTTGACTGATGGGGGATTTATAGGGCCAACAATGTCCATTCCCCAAGTCTCGAACGGCCATGACGTAATCGAAGGATGCAGATGCTCCGGAGGTTGGTGCATATAATTCCCGTGTATTTGACATGCATTACACTTTCGGGCATACGTGATTGCATCACTCATCATGGAAGGCCAAAAATATCCCATTCTTCTGATGCGGTCATAAAGCTTGGGACCAGGTTGGTGTGCACCACACTCTCCTTCATGCGCCTCCCTAAGGACCTCTTCAGCTTCCTTGGTTGATAAGCAACGTGCTAGCAACCCATCGTACCCCCTGCGGTATAGCGTTCGATTTTTCGTATTATAGTAGAATCTTGGTGCTCTTCGTCTGATTGACTCTCTTTCCTTCACATCTTCTGGCAAGATTCCATGCAAGACGTAGTCGATGATGGGGAAACGCCAATCTCGTGGTTCGAACTCGACTTGAGTAGCGTGCACCTCTTGAACCTCTTCTTCCTTGGCATCTTCATTGTAAAGTGGTACTAGGAGTTGGTGAGTTCTTACCGTAACAAACTGCTCTGCTTCGGGAGGTTGTGCCAGAGACACGGCCAATGCTGCTAACGCGTCTGCATAGGTATTCTGTAGCCGTGGAATATGTTCGATAAAGAATCCTTCGAATGATTCTGCCATCTCCACTGCCATCTTATGGTATGGTATTAAATCTTGGCTTCGAACCTCGTACTCTCCTTGAACTTGTTTAACTATCAGTTGAGAATCGCCAAAGGCTTCGAGATACTCCACCCCCAGTTCTTTAGAAAAACTGAGTCCTATGAATAATGCATTATATTCGGCTACGTTATTTGAGCACGGTTCGGTCAATGAGTAAGCTCGAGGCATCACGTGCTTTCTTGGGGAAACTAAGACAACTCCCACTCCGGAAGAAATCTTAGAACTTCCAGGAGCACTTGCTACATTAGTTGCTCGTGACGCGCCGTCAAAGTATAGACGCCATACTTGCTGGTGCGAAGTTGCGTTGACTTCGTGGGCTTCATCGGGTAGATTGTCATATATCTCGACGGTGTCCGTAGTTGGATTAGCTGCCAGGAGATCACAGATGGCCTGTCCTTTTACTGACTTTTATTGTTTAAAATGTAAGTCGTATTGGGACAAGAGTAAGGCCCATTTTGCTAATCGCCAGCTCATGGAAGCTGGTTGAGTCATGAATAC